AATAAGATAAAACAGATTAAACAAAAAATAAAAATATAATAAATAAAAATTCCAAACCTTTAAAAATTATAAGTAAAATAAAATTACAGTACATTAAATTAAGTATCATGAAACAAATTGAATTAAATTTAACAAATTAACATTAATTAATATAAATTTAAATAAAATGAAACCAATAAAAACTAAGTCAAATTATATAAGTAAATTAAATAAATATAAAACAATTTAATTAAAACTAATTTACTTTAACTAAAATTTATATAAAGTTTGAAACTCTGATTTACATATATGTGTTTGACTTGTACAATATTTTCGTAGAAAAATAACAAAAAAATAAGCTTGAAAAACGTTGCGAATATTAAAAAAAAATTAAATTGAAAAAAGTTGCGAATATTAAAAAAAAATCAACACGTGAAGACTTGTGTGAGTTACTATAAATTAATTGCATATTTCCTTTAACACTTATTTGGGAAATCTAATTTGCCCCTCTTACTTCTTGAAACAAAGCTCGAATTAGTCGAAAGCAAATATACCCCTTAATAAACTGCCACAATTTCGCTTTAATAGTCATATCAAAATCGCTTTATGTATCGTCCGCACATAACTACCACCAGCTTATTTTCCAAAAGTTCATATCTTATGTTCAAGCGAGAATTTCCTTTCACATCTATCGAATACTCTTTCTTTTCACTCTCCGTGTCATTAAGAGATCAATGTTTAGTGTCAGCAATGATTATTCACAATCGCAAAAATTAAACAACAATTACACATATTTATGAGCAAAAAGGAAAGCAATAGGATTTCAAGTTTGCAGCTTAAGTCTTTTGTTACTCCAGTCAACGAGAAGGTGTAGCAACACTTTCGCACGCAACTGGCTGGTATTTTTAATTAAACTATGAATAGGCAAATTTATTGCTCAGACCACAATAGCAACAAAGCAAAATATGCCAAACAGTAGCAAAAAAAAGAACCAAAGATATAAATTAAACTACTGAAAGTTGCGTAGCAAGTTTCACATTGAAATTGAATTTTTTACACCAGCTATTACTACTACTTATTCTATCAGTAATTGTTTGGCATCAATGGAATTTCTAAATTAATTTGCGCACTTCCGCTTGCTTGAACAGCGACAATAACGATGGCTTTTTTATGTTCTTAACAATAGTGGTTGCATGCAACACATGCAAAGTGTAACCAACTTTTGCGACTGCGAGTGTTTCGAAAGCATACATAAATATGTAAATGAATGGTTAATGTAAAGACAAAGAATTTATTGGCGGTAGCCAAGACATCAACAAAATGTGTATGAAAGTACTTTTCGAAAGCGAAAAAAACTCGTTCGCAATGCTAATTAGTAGAAGCTTTTATTCTCGTAAATACTCGCAATCAATTAGATATCAACTGTAAAAGGCAATTTTCACTTAACTGCTGCTTATCATCATATGCATACTAATAATCAAAATATATTGGATTTAAAGTGCATTTAATTAAAGTCCACACTTGAAGTAGATATTATCACAGAAAGCGACTATTTTAAATTCAATAGCACACGAGGTATGTACATATTAAGCCGCATTTGTATGACGCTCGGTGCTATTAACCAGATAGTTAACTGGCCTAACAAACAAAAACAACCAAATAAAATACAAATAAAATAATTTTATTTGCAGCATTTGCTGTGAGCTAATCGAAGTAAAGGCTTAAGCGCAGCCACCAAATCGCAGCGTTAGTACCACTCTTTCTGCCTTGGTCGTTATCATTTAAACTAATTGTTTGAATTTCGCATATTTAAAACACATTTCACCATGGTTGCATATCGCAAAACACATAAGGAAGTCATCTAACGAAACACTACTTCTCGGTAAAATGAGAGAATTAATGATGCAAGATGCTAGACCTACGCCGGCGGCAGTGATTACGGCAATTGTGCAATATTACGTTTGCTCTTTGGTAGCGCAAACGCTCTAAGAGCTGTCACAGTAGGAAATGCTACTTACAATGCCATTGGGTTTGGGGTATATTTATAGGTAGCGTTGAGTTTTTAGTAGCGAAAATTTTTGCCATTAACTCTAATGGCAGTGCTTATTAATGAACCGAAATAAATGAAGATTTTTATGACGATTTTATCGCGTTTTTAATTTGGTATATTATTTTTTTAGTAGTGACTTGTAGAAGAGCATGTTACCTTTTTAACTCGTAGTTAACTGATCATTACATGTTAAATTAGCATAATATATACGTATCATATAATAATGCTTATCAAATTCAGAACATTTAATTCCAGAAGTATTGTAGATGTTACTCAATACCGAGTATGCTAGTATTTGCTTATTTTCACAGCGCTAAATACTTGGTCGTAAACTATTTAGTTAGCTTCACCCAACGAACTACCGCGTACTTTGAGAACTTGGCTTCACGTAATACCGCAAACTAAATACTGGATACAATATTACTTAGTACTTATGACTTGATTAAATACTCTCTTACTTGCCATTTACTCAGTGTAAAAATGAAGAATTTCGGGATTTTCGAGACTATTTAGGAATTTTCAAGACTTCTTTGGGATGTCTAGGATTTTCGAGACCATATCGAGATTTTAGAGTGTTTCGGTATTTTCGGGGCTGCTTCGGTATTTTTGGGACAATTTCAGGATTTTCAGTGCAACTCCGCGACTATTTTGGGATTTTCGAGACTACTTCGAAACTTTTAGGATTGTTGGAACTATTTTCTGGATTATCGGACCTATTTCCTACTTTCGAAATTATTTCGGGATTTCAATATCGATATTAAGATTGATAGATTCCGAGAAAATTCCGAAAATATCGAAATAGTCCCGAGAATCACGAAATAATCTAGAGATTCCCAGCATGGTCCCGATAATCTCGAAATAGTTCCCAAATTGAGGTGTGGTGAGTTTAGGTGAGGCATTGTGAGAACAGCTGGGATGAGTTCAGTTGTGGTGAGTTAATGCTTGGTGAATTTAGATGTGGCAGGATCAGGTGTGGTAAGTTTAAGTGAGGTGTGGTGAGTTAGTGTGTGGTGAGTTGATTTGAGGTGAGGTTGTATATTACTCCCCACAAAAAAAGAGCGTTATGTTTCTTTTTCTCACTCATTTTTTATTTTATTCGTTCATAAACTCACTCAAGCACCAGAGACAGCTCGTTGAGCCTAAAAAACGCTAGCGCTCTTGAGTTTTTGAAGATGGAGTGCTCTTAAAAAATATAACTCCGCAATGAGGGAGCATACTTTTGATGGCGTTACGAACTATGTTTCAATGAAGCGTTTATCACCTAGAACCTTGTTGCTGCTTACATGTGCGTCCAGGTACCGTTTTAAATGATTTTAAAGCTCCGAGGTATCCGATTTGTATATTTTTTTTAATGTCCGCAGTAACCTTGTGGTTAGATAGTTGTTGAGGTATGCACCACGACCAGGAGATCGATTATGATTTAACCCATTGGTTCGAGCCAACACCTACATACATAAATAGAAGGAATAGTTATTTTATAAATAGAGGTCTCGGCGGCAACTCTGCCTCACCATTTTTTGCGGAAATGACATATTTTCTTCAAAAAGTGTTTCCTTTGTCTAAAAGACTGCATTTAATTCAAGCCTTACTTTTTTCTTTGCATTTTACGCGAACTTCTCACTGCAAACATTCTAAAAACAAAACTTTCTTACTAGGTCTCTTAGGCAGACACTCGATTTGTTCGCAAAGAAAAACCACGAAATCCACTAGCGTAGGCTTACTCATACATAACGGCCAATCAGCGTGAGCATGTCTGCGAAGAACAGAACTTCTGGTGGCTGCACTAATGACCATGTGACTAAGTAGCTTGGCGCGCCTTAAGCTAATACGAAAAGTGTTGCACCAAATTAGACGCTTCTAGTAGGAATAAAGAAAAGAAAAAAACCAACAAAACGTGGACAGCAAACACAAATGGACAAACAGACAAATACTTAGACGAATGTAAGTCCACAGGTACTGGAAAGGCGTGCAAAAACCACACAAATAGAAGCAAGTACCCAGTGATAGGAGGACTCAAACGACAAAGTGCCGATTGGTCACTGACTACTGACTACTGTGGAACGACAGTCGGCAACGGCAAGGGCTATTTGCCGATGAAATTAATTAGAAGCGCGCATTGCTGCCAAAGCCGCATTCATGCAACAACATCAAACACTACCACGCGAGTGGCAAACTGACCACGACCGGGCGGGCAACCAAGCAGCCAGGCCGCGTAAACAGCCCATATAGTGGCAGCTAACAGGCAGCACATACAAACAAAAATCTAATTAGATGCTTTTGTAGGCTGCCTAGTACACATGCATATACATATGTAGTATATGTATGTATGTATATACATATATTACTAGCAATGGTGGCAACATTTGCGCCTGTGCGCCAATTGCGCTCTAAATTAAATTCGCGCTGCCGGTGGCGCTGTTCTTGTTGTTGCGTTTTTTATGCTTGGTGTTGTTGTTGGAGGCCAATCAAAGGCTGGTTGGACGCTTGAACGTT